TATGTGTGTGTATGTGTGTGTGTGTGTGTGTGTGTGTGCTGCAGTAAGAATAGGGAGGAGATGTAGAGAGAAGAGGAGAGGGGAGGAACAGGATGTGAAGGAGCATGCGGGAAGATGATCGATAGTGACAAGGGAGCAAAGGCAGTGGTCGTATCTGCAAGGAGTTGGTACGGATGGCATGTGGACGTTGTGGTTGCCATTGCCAAGTATATCTATTATTGATTTCTCCGAAGCCTCTTCCGGCATGTCTCGGAGGACGGAATGGAACGCGTCGCATACATTCATCCCTCCTTCTGAAGTCGCCGGATGATTCCTCAACGATTCATCCCTATCGATTCTGTAATTGTGCTTTTCTTCCGGTGATAACCCACCCGCCTGGGAGGTATCAATGGATTATCATTGGTTGATGATGATGTATGATTATGATCTGATAATGCCGGTGATTATAATTTATTAGGCTTTACTATCAACTTGTACTCGAATCCTGTCGCCTGCTTACTTCCGTCCTTTACCGACAAATCTTCCTTTCCTCCTCATTTTCGCACTATTGTACCTGTCCTGGTCAAAGGCTCTCCATGACGGTAATAACATCTCACATTAATACATCCTTTCTAATTAATCACTTGCACGTAAGTACATTGAGCATTCTATTTTATGATGCTTGAAAACCACCAGGTTCGTTATTCCCCTGCACCGCCTCAATTACAATGGCCGCTGGTCACTGCTTGATATAAGCATTCCATCACTGAGGCGCACGTTTTGGCGGTTAAGTCCAGATCATCTTCGAGACACTCAATATTTCTTTCGCTCTGCTTCCTCGTCATTCTACCTGTTATCTCTCCCTCGTTGCATTAAGATGTCGACGTTAGATTTATTGGGATATACTTGAGAATTTTAATTTAGCATATTTAAGTCAGTACTTGAAGTGATTTCCGACTTTGTATAAGAATTCCAGCTTGATTTTTTCTTCCGAATATTACCTATGAAAGCTGATTGTTGTTTTTTAACAGCAATTAGCAGGTTGAAAAGAATCTATCTACTACAAATAATATGAATTTCTTGTATATTTCATGATTGCCTGATATCACTTGGTAATTGAACTGATGGATGAGTGAGAATGTGCCAAGACTATGTGGGACGGGGATAAGTTAATGGACAGAAGCTGAGATCATTTTTAAGACTTATGTTAAGAAATTAACTTAACAGATTGAAAACAATTTCGATGGGCTTCACTACGTAGTGTATTACCATCTAAATAAGTCTTCAGGTGAGTAAGACCATGAATGTTTTAAATTGAAAGCAAGAAATGAATTAGAATGAAAGAATTTAGAAATTTGTCATCACTTTTCCCAACCAAGTTCTAATACTGTTACATCCTATTGCAACACATTTGCATATTTATTTAGAAACAAAGAGATATTTAAAATTTTCTTTTTTGTAAATTTCAATACCGATACACTGTTGCACTTTTGAAGCGGTTGGTACTTTACCCGTTCAGCAGAATGCTTTTGCCAAGTGACTTTTGAAGTGGATAAATTATTTAGCGTACTATTTTCACTATGCTAAAATTATTGTTGTTTCAGCTCGCTTTCACAACGTCATGGATGGCGTTGATATTTCGAGTAGTTCGGAAAGTGGCGATGAAAATACACATGGAATAAATAGCGATCTCAATGGTACTTTTATTTTGTAAAATCATGTTATTCGATTTTATTTAAATGTTTAAAGGACATTTAAAGGATGAATTAAAAAATGCAAATTCGGTAGACGTTTGGAATTCTTCAGTTTATTTTTTCGACGAAGATCTGACAATGTCACGGTTTTTACAAAGGTTCATATGCAGGAAAAGAACTGTGGAGTGGTGGCAATAATCTTGCGATGGAATCTGATATTGATGCTGAGTTGGATTATGATGAAGAAAATGGAGATAATGAAGAAGTGGAACGGATTGAGGAACAATCTAAAGTTTTTTTTTTTTTTTTTGCTCTCTTCTACTCATTCAAGATTTATCAACTGAAATATTCGTTTTGAGTTTTTCCGTTTCTTATTTTCCTAGGAATTATATTTTCAGGTTTCAATGATTAAAAATAAGATGGCGGATGATAATGCCATAAATGGATATGATGGAGATTTAGCAAAGCAAAATGCTGTCTGTATTGAAGTTGCTCAAACTGAAAGAACTGGTAAAATCATAGATGACAGAGGAAAGGGAAAAGTTGAAGATGAGCTAAGCGAGGAAGGGGAAATCGATGACTTGGAAGAAGGCGAGTTAAAATCTGATGAAGATAGTGTTACGGGTTCTATACATTCAAATGAAAAGTCGACTCGAAGGTCGGTAAGTTTTATATTATTTTTTTATGTCTTATTTCAGTCTCAAAACCGTTTTGCAGTTGTTCTTCAATGAAAGGTTCAAGGTCTCGTGTAAGACACCGTTAATTTTTAAATTCGAATTTTTTAAAGGTTTTCCGGCCTTCAAGATAATTAAAAAGATTTCGGAATTTAATGATAATTTCGAATTTTCGACTGATAAAGCTAATCTTTTTCGCAAAATTTTCGAGGCAAAATAAATTAATATTAGAGTGAAAAATTTTTTTTTTCGAGGTGAAATAAATTAATATTAGAGGATATTGCTGTGACAAATGCTATTGGAATCTTGAAATGTTTAATGTGCAAATAACGAGAATTCTTTTCAATTGTATTGTATTTTCGATTATGCTTAAACAGGGTCTTATTTGCATTTTAAATTATGCTTGAGTAAAATTTTCAGGTGAATCGAAATCGTGAAAAATTTTTGGAACGTTCTCCGCATCGTTCATGGCGTGATGATCCAACCTCGGTTGGCATTTGCAAATTTTATCTTCGTGGAACATGTACGTGGGGACAAGACTGTAAATATCTGCACATTAAAGAGGTACCGAACGGTGCAAAATAATGCGGAAGTGCACTTGTTATTTAGTATATTTGTGGCAGTGAAGCCTTGCAAGCACAGAACTATAGGAAGCTTATTTGACATATTTGATATTAAAAAACTCATATCTGAACTTAAATGTCATTTGATTTTTAAGTCGTAAAGAGATGTTTTTCTCGACACTCAACAAAAATCGGATTATTTCTTTGTTTAAATCATGACACAAATAAATATAGTAATCTTTTCTTTAAATAAATACATATTTATCGAATCTAGCCACGACTTGATGGTTCGGTACCAGCAGTACAAAGCTCTTCAAATGAAAGTACTTACTCACAGTGCTCGAATAATGCGAGAAGAAGCAGAAGCAAAGAATTCAATAAACGTATGTTTTGCATGAGGTTTTAAGTTGACATAAGGATAAATATTTTGTTCAACGTCAGCTTGGATTTTGAATAAGATTACTCAACAAATGTTGTATGTACTTCTTTAGTTTGAAATAAGCGAAATATGGATTCATAAATTTTTGTCATTATTTCAGCTGGCATCAATGCACTTACCATTTATCCTTCTAGTTCAACATCAAACGAAAATGAGGGGTCGAACGGTGATGAAACAGCTTGGGAGAAAGGATTACGTCAGGCGCGCGAAGTAAGTTACCATTTTTATTGCTTACATTTTAATTATTAGAATTTTTCGATAAAATTTCTGTCTGTTAAAACTGCCTATTATTCAGTTGATGATACGAGCATCAAAAAAAAGAGAAGAAGAACCTGATTTTGACCGGAAGCGGTTGATACTCGTGCCTAGTGGAGATATGGATCGACCACGAACAACGGATGAAGAATCAGATGATTCTCGTGGATATCGTAAAATGTATGGTTACTATCTGTTGTAAATGAAATCTGAACTTCTTTGTTTTTGAATATGTTTTTCCCATGTTGTCAGTTTTATATCATTCGATTCTTTGTAATAATTCTGATAGATTATGATATATATTAACATCTGCTAATAGTGGTTTCTATTTTGGCATTATGGTAAAGCGGGAACGTTTTGCACGGTCTAATCGTATAGGATGTTGGAAAAATCATTTAAGATTTCTTTAATAATTTTACTGTGAAAGTTGTTTTAGACGTCGCCGAACATCGCGCTCACCGTTGTCTCGAGGCATTGTGAGAGGAGCAAATGGTTTTATGGTACGTACACGTGTTGACGTTCCTTATCCGAGATTTAAGAAATATGATAACCCAGTTAGACCTGACGATATTAACGGTTAGTACCAGAATCTACTTACATTTTTATTGATTATTTTTTAATTATAACAAATACCTTACTTTAAACATAAATCTTAATGTTATTTATTATAATTCGAAGTTATCTGTCTCTCTTTTCTTCTTTGTGTTTTCCTTTTCTTATCATTATTAATTTTTATTTTCAGGTGATCGTCATTTTGACTTAGAACGTCGTGGTGTTTATGAAAAGAATGAATCAACAAAACCCCGGAAAATTCCATCTTTAATAGATACTATGCTCGAGGGAAGACGTTTCGAATTTACAAGAAGTGCGCTTGGTTTTTTCTTTTTTTTCTAGTTTTTATTTTCATTCTATGCATGAATCGAATAAATAACGAAAGATAAAATTGCATTTTTATTCAGGATACGATTACGGACGCGATGATCCCTATCGGTTGCCTCCTAAAGGTTGGTTTTTGCATAATTTTGATTTCTATAGATTATAGTAACTGTGGTCAGTAAAGTTTAAAATGTTTAGATCTTGGACCACAAGTTCTGTATCCGAATGGAAGGCCAACTTCTCGACGTCACGGACCTCCTCCAAGACTTGAAATGTAAGTTTAAATCCCTGGATTTCCAGAGTGAACAAAGTTTATCTCAGAAATATTATAAATTGATTCACAACGTTTAAGCATATACAGTTAACAGTAACAGTTTGTATGTTGTATTTCATTTTCTGTGTCTCTTTTAGCTCGCCGAATAATCATTATCATTTGTCACGGCGCGATTCCCGACCTCATAGCTCTCGTTCGCCACTTTCACGAACATCACGAGATTCTCGATCACCTAGTCCGCGTCGCTCGTTTTCACCTTCAGATAAAAGGCGCGGATCATCACTGTTAGCAGATAGACGAGAGCCGAATAGAAAGCGAAGCGGCTTTGGGACTGTGGGTGGTCTTCTTTCAGGTTATCTGTTTTCTTAGAAATGATTCTTTGGTGTATATGATTGTCTTTATTCTAACATTCAATTTCACGCATGAAATCAGGTAGGCCTATGTTTATTTAAACATGCTAGACGTAGCATAGTTGAAAAGAAATCGGAAGAAAATTTAAATTTACCTAGTTTGAATTGGAAAGTAAATTTAAATTTAGTTGAAAATTCTTCGAAATTCCAGCTGGTGATCAGATTCACGATCCCTGGGAAAGATCACACAAAAAAGGACGAAACAAGGATAAAGAATTAATATCCTTAACACTTGGGGCAGAACTCCAAAAAACTCGTCGAACGAATGATAACAAGAAGCAGACACGTCATCAGGATACTGCTAGTTCGGCAAGCAGTGCTTCAAGAAGGTTTGTTGAAGCTTTGTTAAAATAAGTGGAACATAAAGTTTTATTTCTTTGTTTTCAGATGATGTATCTGGTATATTTTTGGAATGCTTTTTGTTTCATGTTAAAATTTGTGTAAAATCTCCGCATATTATTGATACGAAATTTCGAATTCTTTTGACTTAATTTTCTCAGTTTTAGAAGTCTTAGTGCAGGGTCGTCAGCAACTTCCCGTTCTCGGTCACATTCACGAGCATCCTCAGGGAGTCATCGTCAGTCATCATTCCGTCCTTCGTTGGCATCTGCTGTTGCTTCCAGAAACCTAATTGACGACGACGGATCTTTAAGAGCAACAGACCTTTCGTCCTTTCGTATTCCAAAAAAAAAGAGGTTTTTTTTTTTAACTTACGGAATTTAATTTCAATTTTATACTGAATAAGGAAGGCGGTGTACAAGTAGTATTGCGCTCTATTTTACGATTGTATTAAATAAAATGAAGTCGAATTGGAATCAAAAGCGGAGTGCAAGAAGATCGTATAATAATGTAAATCGAGTAATATAACCAAAGATTATTCTTTTACAGATCCTCTCCAGCACTGTCATTGCATCGTTCTAGTACAGTTGCTCTTTGTGGCTATATGCATTCATTCGAGCGATCGAACAATCAAAATAAGCGGTACGCATCTTCCAGTCTTCTCAAAAGGTTAACTTTTGATTATTCAGTAGAATTTAAGTCCATATTACTAAAAGATCGAGTCATCTTTAATGCTTCCTTGTTAAATAACTTATTATTTGCTGCTTATCATCCGGCAGTAAGTTCAGACCCTCTTTGTCTCTATCGCTTCGCCCTGGAATTGCACAGCAAGGGACAAAAAGAGTAAAAGGAGTTATTGGCCGTGCCGATAAAGCTCATAAACGCAATGTTTTGCTCGCAAGAAAAGATGATTTGTCAAGTGATGAAAGTTCATCGAGCACGTCTGGGTTAGTCCGTATCACTGACTAAATAGTGATTCAGGTTCTTTCGTTCTTAAAACTGGAGATTTTGATACTATGTGCCTGAAGTGTTGCAAATATCATGAAGTTTTATTTTATGATTAATGTAGTGAACTTTTACAGAATAATATGTGAATATTTTACTAAATGAGTCCAGCGTGATCAGAAACAATACTGAATGATGTTCTTGCATTAGCGGGGATGAAAATCACTAATGCAACGAACGCAGTAGCTATTTAATGAACAAGATTTAACTCTTAAAAATAAAAAAGTTATTTTAGATTTATTTTTGTTGACGAGTCATTGGAATAATTTTTTTAACAGATTAAAACCATTTGTATCAGTGTATATGAAAATTTAAGGAGTTCAAGTAGCAGTAGTGATGATGCAGAGCCTGCAGCATATCGTCTCAAAAAGAAAGTCGATGACGGTTTGCCTACCGAAGGAATACCTCTATCTCCGGAAGCTGCGGCAGAAGATGTTTCCAGCGATGAAGATGAGGTGACTTTCACTTTTTACAAATATCAGTGTCCGTTGTATGTATAAAACATATCCAAGAGAATTAAGCCGCTATAATGAAAATCAGTGTCAGTATCGAATAAGCGAATAGCAATCACATTCTTCCAAATTGGGTAAGGATGATATATGCTCTAGATAAAATTTTACGTCTAGCATTTGCCTAACTTCTCACTCTTTTCACGAAATTACTGTTTCAACTTCCATAGCTTTGTTTCAGAATGCCTCCGATACATCCGTACACGAACCGATTGCACAATATTCAAAGAAAACATCGTCGGCTGGAAATTCGCGACCAGCTTCGAGAAAAGCAATTGCAGATTGTTATGAATCGAGAATCGATGGTATGTTACGGTTTCTTAAGTTTTGTTTAGAGAATTTAGAAATTATAGATAGTAACGATTATTCATAATTTTTTTTTAATTTCAGATGACGATTACGTGGATAATGAAGTAGAAAAGGAAGAACGCCGTGCTGAATTATTACGTCAGTTGAAGTGTGTTGAAGAAGCGATAGCTCGTAAACGTAGTCGGCCAGTTATTTGATATAAACTATGATATTTCTTATCTAGTCTTTTTGAGTATTTTTGTGGTGAAGGATTCTTCTTTAATGTTTTTTTTCGTTGATATTTATGATATGATTTATTTACAAACATATTTTTCTGTTTATAGGAACATTGTTTTAATTTATAGTTTTTTGGTTTTAAACCATCTTACTTAGTATAACTTTTCGATGTTAGACTTTCTATAAACCTTATTTTTTTGTTAGATTTGATCTTTATTTCTGGAGGGAGAAGTTTGAAACTTTTGAAGTTAGTGAAAATAAGAATTTATCCAATCATTATCATTGATTTTGATGATGGTTCAGATATGATCTGTTTTAAGACACTATAAAAATGTGATATATGGAAATGGTTCTTTCAAAATGGAAGTTGTAACTATTTTTAATTGCTTCTTTTTAACTTTCTCAACTTTTTAGAACATTTGATGTTAGAATGAATGATAGTTGCTAGTGGGTGTTTATTATTTTACATTGGTTCCTATTTATATTTCCATGCAGCTTCATAGTTTTTTTTTGGGATGTATAGTGGAAAATAAAATTCTATTGAAAACTTTTCTCTCTTCAATTGTTATACCCGCACTCATGTTAACAGCTAGTGTTTGATTCATTTGTTAAATGAATTTTCTTAATTACTAAATTATTATTAGATTCCTTTAATCTTATATTTGCAAATTTTAATGCAATTTATGGAATAACTACATCTCATTGGTTACAAATAACATTTTGAAGATATTCTGAAAACAAGTGCATGTCAAATTTTCACTAGGACATTTTGCTTTGGTATTTTAAAATGGATGATATTGCACTTCCAAATCTTCAAATTTCGAAAATATTTTAAAATGTGACAGTTGATTTTAGGTACATTGTTAAGCCTGTTTGCAAATCTGTTTTACGGTATATTGGCATTTCGGATGTAACTTGGATATTTGTTCCTAAATTCGGAGAATGAATCTTAAAGCTTCTACTTCATTTGAACCGCTGAATCCGCATAAAATTTTCATTTTGGAAAAACGAATTAAGAAGAAAGTTAAAATACGTCGACGGCCAAAGGAGAATTTTATAAGGAGAAGAATTGTCAAAAGCGATTTAAAGGACTTAAAGTGTTCCCTTAAATTCTTTGTATTTCTCAAATGCACTCAGGGAACTATTAATGATAAATTTAGTTTAATTTTGAGGAATGATATATGCAAAGAGGATCTTTTCCCTTTCATCCACTTTAGTAAAAAGAATAGTTTATTCATATACATCATTCGTAGCTGTTGGATGATAGAGCTATCATCAGGAACTAGAATTATAAAAGTTTTATTTGTTCATAGATGTCCAATTTCAGATATTCGCAGTTTGAACCACTCTATGAATTGTGGTGTGACTATTTTAGCACCTTAGTTAGTGGAGCCGGTGGTCAATTGGATTCTCGAGTGTTGAAGGCTGATTATCATGGATGTCTGTTGATGGTTGCTGAAGCTGCTAACCCAGCGCAGGTACTTTTATTCTTATTATGAACATTTGAGTGTCTTGGCATAAAATTTCAAATTATTTACAGTAATCTTGGTTTCAAATGATGAAATATCAAGAAATTTTTAGTATTCTATTTTAGGTCGGTATTTGTGGCATTGTAACGCGTGAAACCAGGCAAACCTTCATGCTAATGACAAAACAAGATCGCTTGCTAAGTTCGTTTTAAATTAATTTATTTTTATAGAAATTTTTTCTTTTCTACATTTTATTTCCTATTTATATTAATCTTCAATTATTTTTTAAGCACTTCAAGAAACTAGGCAAATTTTCAAATTTTTCCTCTAATTTTTTGCTTTATTATTATATTTTCAGCTATTCCAAAGCAAGATACCATATTTCAATTTGCACTGGAAGGCAAAATATATATTTTATTCGGTAACGCATTCAGGTTAATTTTATAAGTTTTGTTATTTTATTAACAAATATATTTTTTATTCCATCAAACTGCTTATGTTTTATTTGTAGGCACGTTTCTTAAGTCTTTTTTATTTTGAAAAATATTTTCACCAATTCGACAAAATTATTTTTCTTTTAGATTTCAACCGTCAGTGCGAGCAAAAAAAATTTTGAGGAGTCGCTCTTCAATTCCATTCTTTCTGAAATAGTATTTAGTTTTATTTCTTTTTTATGTTGCATAAATAACATGAATGAAAAATTCAGTGTTTGCAGTTACATTTTTTACTTTCCAAATGGAAAACGGAATCATTTTTGCTTTCCGCGAGTTATATTTGTACCAATCATTCGATTTTCTTAACGTCTTTGCTGGCATGTGAAGTCTCAGAGTGCAAATAAGGATGTGGCCTATGAGGGTTCCTCGATTTCTTCAATCAGTCCTGTCAAATAACGATACTCTAAACTATTGGAAAGCGGGATATTGCTCTCCTATGCATGTGAAGATGCGCAATACCAAACAGAAGAAAGTCTATCGTTCAGTTTTTATTACCGAAAACGAGATTTTTTTGAGGATTTAGAGCAATAATCTGAATTGAATTTGTTCAATTTTTTTGTGCTATGAAAATAAGAAAATATTCAAACACGAAAAAAATTATTCTTGGCTAAATTCATTTCAAGTCCGCAAAGTTCTAGCGATCAATCTATACGATAATGTTGATCGAATTCATCATGACTTATAACCGATCATCTGCAGCTATAAATTTTCAATTCCAGTTTATAATTTTAATATCATTATGGTATGATTAAAGAATGGAGAAAAAGGTATTGTATTTTTAATTGGATTTTTTTAAAAGTATTACGGGACAAAATTCAACAAAAAAATGATAATTTGATTCATTTGTATCGATAAATCCGTGTATTATGGGTAATTCAACTCACGTTTATCATTCAAATGACATTGTCACATTGAGAATGAGTCAATTAAATTATCAGTATTGCATTAGAACATATATCATCATGCTTATATTGTTTCATTTGTAATATTAGCGCCTGCTTTGTTTTTTTTATTCAGGACAAAAGTAAGTTAAATGATGAAGTATAAGTAGTGGTAAATAAATAATGGATGGGTTAACAATATACAGAAAATATGATCATTTTTCAACAATTTTTTTCCACTCATCAATTTGCCAATTAAATGAGAATTAAATTCTGATTATCGACCAATCAATGTACAATTTTAAATGAAATGAAAAAAAATGATTTGTTAAACAAATCAACTAATATTTAATAAAACGATAAATTTTTGCAAAATATTTGAATGCTAACCGAATCAAACGGACAATACGTACGATCCGATAGTATTTTCTAAATACTTCAAAAATTCCATCATTCGCATAATTGTAAACATTTTTGAAATATTTGAGTAAATGCTTGTTGAACATAAATATGAAATAAACACTTTGCAACCAATTGCATAAATATTTCAAAATTTCAAAGTTTTTGAAAATTTCGTGAAATTATTTTCCATTATTTACAACTCAAATTTGAATAAAAATTTTTACGCATACTTTTTTTTACGTGTATTTTTCTTTATATCAATTTCTATATATTCATCATCTCTATGATCTCACCAAAGTATCAATGAAATTAATGGAAGTTTATGAATTGATTTGAAAATAAAATTGAATTGAATGACATTCATTGATCCTGTATTTACTCTAATAAACTAACAAATCACTCTGCAAACATCATATCACCTGCGCCACACAGTGCGTGCGTGTTTGTGTGCGTGTGTGCGTGTGTGTGTGTGTGTGTGTGTGTGTGTGTGTGTGTGTGTGTGTGTGTCTGTTGTGTGTCGAATGGTATTTGTACAGTGAAGGTCGTTGTTGATGTTGACGAGAATGTTTGTTCGT